CGGTGCTCCTCGCTGCGCCTCGATGCTCGTCGGTGCTCCTCGATGCTCCCCGATGCTCCTCGATGCTCCTCGATGCTCCTCGATGCTCCTCGAGTCTCGCGAGGCGATCGCCCTCGATGCTCCTCGGTGCTCCTCGGTGCTCCTCGATGCTCCTCGATGCTCCTCGATGCTCCTCGACGATCCTCGCGAGGCGATCGCCCTCGATGCTCCTCGGTGCTCATCGGTGCTCCTCGGCGTCCTCGGCGTCCTCGGTCGGCGGCAGCGGCCGCGGATCCCAGTGAGTATGCAGCCAATGGGTCTCGAGCCCTCACCACACGCAGCCCCCCCCCCCCCGCCCCCATCCGCCTCCCCCGGCAGGGCGGGCCTTGGGGTTGTCGAGCGGCTCCGCGGTCCGCGGCAGCTCCAGCGAGAAGCACCCGAGGAGGGCGCTTTTTTTTGCTTTTTTTGAGACCTATTTGTTTAATTTTCTTTTTTTTACGCGTCCAAATGCGGTTTGTCGGTAGAGGGTTCAACTGGTCGGAGGGGTGCCGACGTAACGCCCGGTGCGCTTTTGCAAGAAGGGTGCGCCCTTCTGGCATTTCTTATACTCCTCCTCCTCGCTCCTCCTCCTCCTCCTCCTCCTCCTCCACCTCCTCCCCCTCCTCTCCTCCTCCCTCCTCCTCTCCTCCTCCTCTCCTCCGCTCTTCCTCCTCCTCTCCTCTCCTCCTCCTCCTCCTCCCTCCTTCCTCCTCCTCCTCCTCCTCCTCCTACCTCCTCTCCTCCTCTCTCCTCCTCCTCCTCCCTCATCCATCCGCCTCCTCCTTCCTCTCTCCTCCTCTCTTCTCCTCCCTCTCCCTCCTTCCTCCTCCTCCTCTGTCCTCCTCCTCCATCCCTACTCTTTTCCCCTCCCATCCTCTCTTCCCTCCTCCTCCTCCTCCTCCTCCTACTCCTCATCCTCCTTCCTCCTTCTCCTTCCCTCCTCATCCTCCTCCTCCTCCTCCTCCTCCTCCTCCTCCTCCTCCTCCTCCTCCTCGTGTGCTCCCATCTCCTTCTTGCGTGCCTCGGCCCACTCGTCGAGACGAAGCCTCGCTGAGTCCAAACGCCGCGCGCCCAGCGGTTGTCGAAGTTGGCGAAGGGGGCGCTGTGGAGAAGCTGTCGCCGTGGAAGAGCATCTGCAGATCTCCTGCATCCGGCGTGGAGGGGCCCTGCAGCAGCGGGCACACCTGCTGCGGGGCCGCGGAGGCGCCGGCAAGGCTGCACGAGGCGCTCCCAGCCCTCTGGCCGAGAGGCGCGCCGCCAGCAGCCCCGGCGCACCCGCGCTCCGAGGAGGGGCGAGGCGGGCTGCGCCGTCCGTCCAGGTGGGCAGCCCGCCTCGGAGGGGTGCCAGTGGAGACCACGGCGACCCTCCCGCCCGGCCCAGCTCGAGGTCGGCCCGCGGACCCCGCACCTCCCGGCCCGCTCTTCGGTGGGATCCAGCCCCGCGGCGACGAGAGGCCTCAGGAGGCCCCCCCCCAAAAAAAAGCGAAATGCGCCACTTGCCTTCGCTCGGATGTCCACTTCCCGTGCATTTTTTGGTTTCGTGCGTGTTTTTTGTCGCTCGATGATCCAGGATGTTCCTCAGGGGTCCTCGCCGAGAAAAAAATACACACGTCCGAACGATGCCAGGGCCAGGGAGTGCCGCGGTTGTCTCCACTGGCCCTCCTCCGAGGCGCGCGAGGGGGCCCCAGCTGCCCCTCCTTCGGAGGCAAGGCTCGGGCGGAGCTGCCTCCTCCAGCGACCCGACGAGCCCGCGCACAAGAGCTGCTGCCTTGCGGCGTGGCCTCAGCAGCGACCACCAGGAAGGCGCGAGATGCCGCGCGGAGGGCACGGGCCTTGTCCGTAGGGGCTGGCAGCGCGCGAGGCACGCCTGACTCTCGCGGGGGGAGAGGGCGGGGGCCCGTGGGGCCGACTGCGCACTGCGAGCCCTGGGCAGGGCTTCGGAGCAGGCCCCGAGAGGCCCAGGCACGGACGCCGAGCTGCCTCTCCTCCCCTGTGGAGGCCTGGAAGGCATTGTGCTCCCATCCGGATCAGAGGCACTGGCGTTGAACACCAGCCTTCGCTGGCAGCTCACATCCCCGAAGACTGGCCATCCTCCCCTCTTCCCTCCCTCGTCCCAATAGCCCCTTGCCCGCGCCATTCCTCCCTCGTCCCTCCTCTCCCCCAATCATCGTTCCTCCCCCTCTCTCATCCATCATCCCTCCCCCCGTCACCCCTGGCCCGGTCACACCTCCCCTCCTTCTCCTCCTCCTCCTCCTCCTCCTCCTCCTCCTCCTCCTCCTCCTCCTCCTCCTCCTCCTCCTCCTCCTCCTCCTCCTCCTCCTCCTCCTGGTCCAAGTCCGCTCCTCCACGGACACGTGCAGAAAAAAACCTGTACGTGCTTGAAGCCGTCGGAGAGAGACATTGCGAACTCTGGCGGCCCAACCCTCACAGACAGAATGCCCTCAACACATAAGCAGCCATATTAGTCTTCCTCCAGCTCTGGAGATCAGGGGCCCCACGCTGGCTGAGTCATCACTTTCGTCAGGCAACGGCGGGGCCCCAAAAATAAAGCACTCGTACGGCGGCGTCCGTCGCAGAGGCGCCAAAATGCGGCCGATCGTCTCAGTTTAAACGCACTCCGTCAATATGAGAGAGTACCCCATCTCCCCGTCAGACACAGAAGGCGCTGTATCATCGCTCGCCCGCTGACCAACTGTCTCTCGGAGGGCCGGCAAGACAGGAGACCCTGAACGCCGAGCAACCCTGACAAAGCATCCACGTCATCGCCTGAAGGTCGTGCGTCGAACTGACGGAGTCAAGCACCTAACACTCGAATACGGCGGAGCCCCATGGTCTCGCAGAAGAATATGTCCCCTTGCACGAAGCCCGCCCGATCCACTGCTCCTCAAGGGGGCGATCTTCCTGCACCCACGCGACGAACATAGCAAGAGAACTCGCCGAGCTGTCCTGCGAGCGTGGCCGAAACTCCGCCGACCCAAGACGACAGAGAGCAAAAACGAGCAACAGCCCCAGCCTCGGCTAAAGGAGAAGAGAGGAGAAGGAGGAGGAGGAGAAGGAGGAGGAAGAGGCGGAGGAGGAGGAGGAGGAGGAAGAGGCGGAGGAGGAGGAGGAGGAGGAGGAGAAAACAGACACGGCGAGGGGGAGCGGAAAAGAGGCTGCGCGGCCATCCCATTTGGCCGAGTCGGCCGAAGGACAAAAGACACACACAGTGTGGCCGAAGGAGAGTAGGAAAGAGAGAGGAGAGGGGCATCCCACACGAAACATATCGGAACGCATCCGCCCTCGGCATCACGTGGCCAGGGCAGTCGCCGATGCAGAACGTAACGCCGCCCGCCGAGGCCGGACGTGCAACAGCGCCCGTGTCAAGCAGGTACCGTGGGCGAGCGGAGCTCACCCATGAAATGACCGCGCCGGTGTAGCAACTTCGTACGGCAGGTTCGCGTCGTGTCGACCCCGGCGTTGGTTTCTGACACCGCGGGGATCGTTCAACCTTGAACGATCGGCCCTTTCCGAGACGTGCGATCCTTCAACATCGACCGATTCTGGGTCGCCGGCGGCGTTCAACCTTGAACGCCCACGCCGGGGTCGCCGCCGGTCGACACGACACGAACCTACCGTAACAGAAAGCGGGGGCGGTCTCCAGACCGGCCTCCAGCGCAGCGCGGGGCGCCGCGAAGCGCGCTCAGCCGGCGAGCAGAGCAGGGCCGCGGTGCTGCCAAGACCGCGAGGCAGCGAGGGGAGCGCGAGGCCTGGGCAGCGTGCAGGAGGGAGGAGGGAGGAGAGGACAAGGGAAACACCACTGAGGGGGCCCCAGGACACACAAAGAAATACGCACAAAGAACAGGATTCCCCATAGCTTCCCATATTTTATGGGTTCTTGTCTTCCCCCCCACTTTCCGTATTTTCCCATATTTTCCTCGGGATCGACGAGTGATTGTGTCTGTGTGTTTTTTCCCCTCCTGAATCATGCTCAGGCCGAGCTCCCTGGCTTTCCGCCGTGCAGCCTGGGCTCAGAACGCTGCGCCACGATTCGGAGGGGGAGGGGAGGAAGCTACGCAAGCGGTGATGCAAGCTATCGTGTCCTGGCCGCGTGGCCTCAGAAGGCCTCTGGGGGCATCCGAGAAGGTCACCGGGGGCCGGCCGGGTAAACGACACCGCATCTACACTCGAAGGCTGGACGCAGTCAGAAGATGCTGCCGTTCTTTCATTCGCCCACGCGCCCCACAGGCGGCCTCCAAGAGAAGGCACAGTGGGCAAAGCCAGAGTAGGAAGAGAGGAGAGGAGGCGGGAGGGAGAAAGGGGAACTGCCGTGCACGCCATCGGCCACGCGGCCGGGACAACGGCCACGAGCGTGCGCCCGTCGAGCCGGCCCGAGCGCGCTGCGCTCCACCACTCAAGCCTGCGGCTCTATGGCCCTGGCCGCGCGCTCTTCCGCACAAGCTGCTGCGAGCGGCCGAGCACGGGCCAGCTCTGGCCAGCGTGCTCCCCCCAGCGCGTGAGGCCACCTGGACACGCGCACCCCGGAGAGGAGGAGGAGGGAGGCCGAGGAGGAGGAGGAGGAGGAGGAGGAGGAGGAGGAGGAGGAGGAGGAGGAGGGAGGCCGAGGAGGGGGGGGGGGGGAGCGGGAAGCAGCGACGGGCACGCACGCCTGCTGCCGCCGTCCGCCGCCCTCACGGCGCGCGGCGGGGCGTCTCGGGGCATCGGCCCAGGCGCCAGGACGAGGAGGGGGAGGGAGGTAGGACGAGCAGGGGGAGGGAGGGAGGGAGGGAGGACGAGGAGTGGGAGGGAGGGAAGGAACAACGACGGGCACACACGCTGGCCGTCGCAGTCCGTCGTCCTCGCGGCGCGCGCTTCAGGCGTCGCAGGGCCGCGGGTCTCCCGGCACCCAGGAGGGGGGAGGGAGGGAGGGAGGAGGACGAGGACAGACGAGAGGGAGGGAGGAGAGTCGCGCAAGCTGCTTGTCGTCTTCAGCGATGCGCCTTGCAGGCGCCTGCCAAGAAACCTCACTCGGCCCAGACGGCGTCGAGGGCCCGGACGGCGCCTGCGTGCCTAGCCGTTGCTTCTCTGACCTCTTGGCCCAGTGGCCGTCGTAGCGTGTCGTCGTCAGTAGTGGGCGGGATGCGGCGTGCCTGGCAGTGTGGCCTCCAGGCGGCAGTGAGCAGACGCGCACACCGAACCAGAACTGCATCCAGAAGCCGGCAGGCCGCCTCAAGCAGGAAGAAGTTCAGCCCGCGGCCCTCGAAGGTCGGTGGGGCGGCGAGCCGAAGCCGCCACTGCCCGTGGCGATGCAGTCGGCGCGCAGCCCGCGCAGTGCTCCACAGCGCCCTCGGCGGCTGCGAGACTGGACGCGACGCGCCGTGCACCACCCACTGCACCACGCCCGCAGCACCGCGGCACTGACCCTGGACGGCGCCGGCAGGCCCAGACGCCGCAGCATGGCCGCGGCGCGGGCCGCCCGCAGCCGAGGCACCAGAGGCAGGCGCCACCTCTCGAGGAGCTTCGCACGGAGGCGCACTGCGGGATGGCTGCGCAGAGCGCGCGCCCACGCCGCCCCGGGCGGCCCCCCCAACACGCCGCGGGCGTGGCGCCGAGCGTGGCCACGGCTGCTGGGGGGCGGGGCGCGCCGGGGCGCCGAGATCCGCCTCGGCTGCGTCACGTGTGGTGCCCGTCTGCCGGTACGTGGCTGCCGCCGCCGACGAGTTGTGCACGTAGGATCAGGTCGGGCGTGTCCTCCTACAGGCAGATGTTGGACGACTTTGTTTCTTAAAAAGTCAAACATGAGCAACAATGCCTCCTGTAGAGGGACATGCCCGACTTAAACGTAAGAGCTATGGAACCAGGAGGTCCGCCGAACATATCGCCCAAAAGACCTCCGTCCCGTGGAGAGCCAGGCTCCAGCGGCGAGCAGCGTCGTCTGACTACTGCCAGGCCGCCCGAGGCGCCCGCTTCCGGGCAGGCCGCCCGAAAACGAGCAGCCAGCGGTACCTCCTGCACGTCCGAGAGCTCCTGGGGCGCGTGCCGATGCCGCCGCGGGAGCACGAAGAGATCGGCAGGAGGTGCCCAAGCTGGCCGGGCCGGGCACGGATCCACGAGAGGCCGCTGCTGAAGTATTAGGGAACCACATGCGAACCCTACCCCGCCCTCCCCCTCAGAAATCGTGTGGGGTAGGGGTAGGGTTCGCAGGTGGCCCCCTGAGTATGTTCTCGTCCTCCTCGTCCTCCCCGTCCTCCTCGGCCTCCTCGGCCTCCTCCTCCTCCTCCTCCTCCTCCTCTCCTCCTCCTCCTCCTCTCCTCCTCTCCTCCTCCTCCTCCTCCTCCTCCTCCTCCATCCTCTCCTCCTCCTCCTCCTCCTCCTCCTCCTCCTCCTCCTCCTCCTCGTCCTCCTCGGCCTCCTCGTTCGTGCACGAAGGGCCCTCGAGCTGCAGGAGGAAGGCCGGGAGCGAGGCCGCGCACGCGCGGTGCGCCACGGCGGCGCCGCGCCTGCCTGAGGCCTGCGCCCGCCTGCGCGGCGCGTGTGCGCGGGGCCTAAGCGCCCTGCGCCAGAGCCTCGCGCGCTCCTCCTCCTCCTCCTCCTCCTCCTCCTCCTCCTCCTCCTCCTCCTCCTCCTCCTCCTCCTCCTCCTCCTCCTCCTCTCTCCTCCTCCTCCTCCTCCTCCTCCCTCCTCTCCTCCTCCTCCTCCTCCTCCTCCTCCTCCTCCTCTTCCTCCTCCTCCTCCTCCTCCTCCTCCTCCACCGGGCCCCGGCACGTGGCCGCGGTGCTCCGCAGGCGGCGCCCCAACCAGGAGAATGCTCCTGCTGGAACGCAGAGCGCAGAACGCGGCTGCCCACGCCCCGCAGGGCGGCCCGAAGAGAGGCGACGGGCGTGCGTCGCACGCTGGCCCTTCGAGAAGGACCGGTGGAACTGCAGCGAAAGGTTGCGCGCGGGGAGCCAGCGAGGCAGCCAGACGCTGCAGCGATATGCAGCCAAACGCTGCTGCGAAGAAGCCGAACGCCCCACCGCAATGCTCTTCTAGAGTG